CTTAATGTGCGGTTGAGGTTGATGTGTGTTATGTTTTTGTTTAACGTGTAATTATTTGTGAGCTAAATGTTTTGGGAGGGGTAGAATAATTGGACGTGTTTTCGGGGGGAAAACTGTTGCTGAGAATCAGATGAGTTTTTGATGATTTGCGTTTCATTTTGTTTTGTTGCTGAGCGACCGTAAGCGTTTGTTTGTTATTTGCGAGGCGGGAGTGCTGAAATCGGGGATATTACGCGAATTATGGAAGTTGTGGTGGAATTACGAAAATAGTATATAATTGAACGATGTAATGGCTAGCGTGGCGAGGAAAACAAGATAAGGTGAAAATTATCTACACGGCATTAGCGTGAAAATAATGGGAACTATTTTGAACTAATGTTTTATTATTGTATTGAAATTAGATGCCAAATAAGAGGAGTACTTAAATGAAGAAATTTTAATTAGAATTAACAATCTTAATTAGAAGAAGAGAGGAAATTTTCAAGGAGCACTTAAATATTTGAACCTCTAACGCGTTAATTTTTGATTTATTTAATTTACTTTTTACAAATAGAATTTCTAGTTTGCATTTTTATATCATAAACAACAATGCGTTAATATATTTTGTGTAAATTATTTTAATTTTAACTGCAAATAATACTAATTTTTAAACAACAGAGTTGTAAAGAAAAGGCAGATCTTCCTGGTTAAAAAAATTAAGAAATCACATGGTGCAAAGAATAATCAAGGATTTATTTCAATAATACTAATAATGTAAGTAGTGGAAATCGAAGCTGGAATAAATACATAAGAATTTGCCAATTGTAGAGAGCGCGTTGGCCGGTCCGAGCGCCGACAATCTGACACCGCCAAAGCCGCAAAAATTACTCAGAGAGAAGAAAAAATGGTACTTCATGACCTGTTTTATGAAGAAGAAGGTCCTTTTTATAGCTTTGGGATAGCAGATAAGGATGAGTGCCATAAATACCTGGCTATTTGTCTTAAAATCATTTGCGAACCTTTAGAATCTTTTTTCTTGAAACAATTTTTCAATCTTATTCGTACGGTTCTTTTAAAAAACCACCGTCTCCAGCGATTTATCATTTAAACTCTGTGCATTTATCGCTGCGATTGAAAGTAATATGGAATTAAAAATGTGTGTAATACAATGCAGATGTTAATAAACATTGACAGAGGAATATCTACTTTATTCCTCTACTTAAAGCCAAGGACATAGAAATAAATCGTATCATTCAGTTTTCACTTCTTTCAATTTTAATGAATCTTCCATTAAGAAAATTGTTCCAGGTCTAACTGTAACCATATTTATAACGAGTAGCATCATCATTGATTCATTTCTAAAAAACAAAGGAATCTCAGAGCGTGAAACGATTCTCTGTCACATTCCAGACTGTGAGAGGTTCTAAAACTTTTGAATGAACGGTAACTAGTAATTTGTGACTGTAAAAATATTGTTGTAATATTGTTGAGTAACTGTATATCGGATACTATCAAGTACAGACTGGTACTGAACTGAAGATAGGATAGAAATATGAGACATTAATAACTTGATTTATAGTACACAGGATTGATAACTTTCACAATTCTTGCATATAAAGTATCACGAGCGTAGCTAATATTTATCGTTCTTTCGTTTAACGGATATGTGCATGATAATTCAGTAATAATAAGTTTCCACGTATATTCATTCAACTTGGTTTTGATTTATTCTGTCATTTAAAAAGAAACAAATTATATAAACATAGTTTAAGCATTAGTAAAAAAGATTTGAAATAATTCTATATTCTATTATGACACAATAAGAGAAAAGGAAATAGCAAATTATTAGAACCGAAGGTAAACACGTCATTAATAACACGACACAGTCGCATTGCTGTCACGTGTAAAAAAGAAACCATAAGACATTAAAATGAAACTTAATCACCTCTTCAAATACCAGCAAAATGAAACGAAGAAAAGAAGATTTCAAATACGATTTCCTTTCTTTTATTCCTACCCTAAAATTTTCTAAATTAATAATAGTTAAATATCCCATGCCCCTGATTTCGTCTCTACTATATAAAGTTTAAGCGAATCCTCTAGAAAAATCTTTAACTCGAGGATAATTGCAAAAAGGCATTTGTAGACCAGCGGATCCTATTGAAGTGGATGAAAAAAACTGTCGTCCGTAAGAATGTTGTAGTTGCAAGAATTCGCAGAGCTACCGAGCGTCGAGGTCGAATCGCTTCCGGGGTGAAAGAAAGGCCACGCCGTCGCAGGTTAAAGCTGGATCATCGCCATCGGCGAAGATTAGCCGGTAGCGTTTCATTACGGGGGCCGAAGAAGCAACATAATTGAGGACCACACAGAAAACGTGTCGGTGGGGCCCTCGCCTGCTCCACCGCACCGAACCAACAACTCTCTTTCTCTTTCTCCGCTAACCTTTCTCCCTCCGATAGTCCTTCAATCTCACCTGTTCTCCCTTCGGCTTCGCTTCCCCTTTTTACTCTCACCTTTCTGCACTCTCTCACGCTGTGTCTCGTTCCGCGTCTCATCTCTCTTATCCTCTTTTTCCTGAATTTCCTCAAAATTTCGTTTTATACAGTAGGGCCCTTTCTAACGCGAACTAAAAATTGTAGACTGCGTTGACACTAAACGTACCAATACTCTGTGTATCAGTTGTAGGTATTAGAACTAGTTAAATAACTGATTACAAAGAATAGATAAACATGTTAGACGATAAATATTCCTTATTTTCCTCTTTTCTACTTTTACTCCGCGCCTCGTTCCGCGTCTCATCTCCCTTATCCTCTTTTCCCAAAATTTTCTCTATACAATAGGGCCTCTTCTAACGTTAACTGAAAATTGTCGATGTAAACTATCTTAACACTAAACGTACCGATACTCTGCACATACCTATAACTGGAAGTAATCAAACAACTAGTTTATTGAAAACATTAACCCATTCTTGAATTCTTCGTTACCAATGTTAAAAAAATAATAGATGCCCCCAAGAAATTAGTAAAGAGATTGATTTAGTAATACACAAACTGAATAATAAGTCAATCGAAAAATTAAGAAAAGTCAATTTGACTGCTTAGTGGTTCTAGCCTGAAGTCCCCCATATCAGATTGAGTCTTCTAAGGTTTCATGGTACGTGTTCCTACACTATACACGATACGTAATACAAATTGACACGTTCGATACACCTAGTGTTAAATACTTTCAGGAACCAGTGTAATCTCGCGTTATAGTGTCTGCAACTGTTTTCAATCTTCGCTACACAAACATTGCTTTTCCCTGTTCCCGGCCGATCGTCCATTTTTATCTTTCCCCGTAGAGTTTCGTCGTCCAGTGTGCCCGAGCGAATTCGCCTGTAAGTACGTTTCACTTGTAACAGCACGGTACAGCAGGCGAAGCATTTCGCCAACCTGTTATTACGCCACAATGGCAGAATTAATTGTTCGAAACACTCCGCGAGCAAATGCTTCGTAGATACCGACTCCTTTCTTCCAGCGCCGCATACCTCCCGGCCTTCTCTGGCTTTTTCCCCTCCGCGATTTACCCTCTGAGTGATTCGTCTGGTTTAAACGGCTGGGATAATGTATCTCTGAGTCGACAACATACACTTTTCTTCGACGCCAAGCACGCCTCGCGGAGGGTCCCGGCTCTTGCTTTCGATTTTAGCGAAATCGACGCTAGCACTGCGTGTTTCGCGTGCTGTGGAACATCGGCTCTATGAACCGATTCAGGAGCGAAAGGGTTTAATACTAACCGCACCAGGAACCAATTAAGTCATCGGATTTAACACTAAAACTACCGGGCGGTTAAATTGACTCTTTTAAATTCCTCTGTAGACACTTCATGGGTGTATCTATCGAGACTTTCATTGATTTAAAATTCAGTTTCAGTATTGTTACATCGATTTCTTTAATCATTTCTCAGAGAAGCATCTGTTAGATTTCTAATAACTGAAAGAAGGAATCAGGAATGGATCATTTAGAGCCGTCCGGTAGTTTTAGTGCTAAAATTTTGCGTTTCCTTTCGTTTAACTTTACATCATACATTGTTGGATTAATCTGTTTTCCAAGTTTTATCTTTTCTTCTGTTTTTGGTTTCAGTAAAAAAGGTTTATTATGCGACTTGTTCACTTCTATTTTGTAAATAGGTAAATCTAAATAGGAATTGGAAAGATTCCGAGAATAACTGTTTGATAAGTGTTCTACAGTAGAACCTTGTATAACGCGATTAAGAAATTCTGCGTTATTTACGGATATATAGAAAATTAAGGTCGAGCAACGGTAACATATATAGGAAAAAGTTGTCCAGAATCAAGTCCTCAGCAATATATTTCAAGGTCATCCAAATCGGTGACAAATCAGTATTGTAGATACTTATGAAAGAAATTATTGTAAGTTTGATTACTGTAACTAAATCTCCCAGCAAAATTACGAAAATTGTGCAAAAAATTTTATCAACTAACCAAAGTGTAATTAAAAAATGTTGAAACAATATTAGGGAAGAACTTGTTGACGTAAAGTTATCCATACATTAGTTTTAAGTAGATTTTGCGAATTTGTATGCATTTATGGAGAATTGTAAAACTCTACAAGATGGAAATAATGTGAAAAAACATACAAAATTTATGAAATGTATTGCTTTTTATGTTTGTTATGAAAACGTATTTTCCATTGTAATTATATTTGTCTAATTGCGTTCACTACATTTCGAATCTCCATGAAAATCCGCAGTCTAGTTGTAAGTATGCTTTTTGTCGTTTTCTCTTTATTCACAATTGTAAAGAGGCCAAAGATAAAAATCATAATCTTGTCATCCTGTGCATCATCGTGTTCCGCTGGTTCTTTACACGTGTAACGTATGGAACGTATTATGTTTGTCTATTGAACCGCGGTGTTCGTGATTTCTTACTCAATTACGAAGAAGTCCCGCGGTTCGAATTAATTACGGCAAATCAAGTCGTTCGGCCGAAGAAGAAGCAACAAAAATCTTTATCGACTTACCCGTAGTTCTCTGCGGTTGGTCTCGGCCATTGTTGCTGCGCGGCGTAGTAATTTTCGCTGTAGTTATAATGTTGGGGATAACCAGTGGTGGTTGTTGCGGCTGCGGCTACCGATGTTTGGCCGTAGCTCTGATAAGTTTCAGCACTGCCGTAGTGCTGAGACTGAAACGATTGTAAATTCATCGTGTTGAAGGCGTTCAACTGTTGACTATTCAGCTGCTTGCGGAGTCTAGCCCGCCTGTTACTGAACCACACTTGGACACGTGCTTCCGTCAGGTTCGTTCTGCAACAACAGAGTGGACAGGTAAAACTATTTTCAATATATATTTAATGCAACATAAGAGTAATATTAATAATGTCACATTAATATTAATAATTATGTTAATATAATATTAATATTATTGGTAATAACATAATATTTTTGACATTAATATAATATTAATAACTGCACTAAGGAACTTAATTTCAGATTTGTTCATGTATACAGGTACACTACTGATCCAAGAGTCTATTGGTTATAATTACATATGTACCTTTTATTTATATTTCACTTAACTTATTCCCATCTTCTTCAATTAATTATATTTCATTCAGAACAATTTTTAAAATTCAAAATATCAATTGTTATAAGCGAATGAGTTACATAAATCATAAAATAATAAAAGAAACATACGCATGAGTCAACCGTGACTTGTTATATGGCACGTGGGAACGTTAAGCCGCCGTGATTTAAAGAGTTGGAAAATTATTTCTAGACTGTGGATCTTTATGTATTAATGAGAAATTTTCAAGTGAGAAATTGTTTACATTAATTCTACTTTTCTAATTATATTTGAAAAATTTATATTTGAATGATATAATTCCTACATGTCTATAATACCAGGAGATTTTATTGCATTTATCGAACTACTATTTATTGTCAAATTTTATTTACAAACAGAAAACGAACATGAAACCATGAAGCTTACTTTTGCGCTAATTCTTCTCTGGTATAAACATCTGGGTACTGAGTTCGGTGAAAAGCTGCTTCCAACTGCTCGAGTTGCTCACCAGTGAACGTAGTCCTGCTTCTGCGTTGTTTCCTCTTCAACGCGATTCCTGGTTCGCTTTCCGTGTCTGAATCATCTCCGCTACTTCCACCTGAAACAAAAGACATAATTGTGTAAGTATTAAATATTCCATTCTCAAGGATATCAATTAGAAATAGAAATTAATAATAGTACATAATTAATTTTAATTCATGCAAGAATGTAATGAAAAATATATTCCATGTTATACGCAACGGTATTCCTCTATAGAAACTCCAAGGGTGCATCTATCATGACTTTAATTGATTTATAACTCAGTTTGCGTATTGCTGAATAATTTCTTTAATAATTTTTCAGAGCAACGTCTGTTATCTTCTTAACAATTGCAAAATGAAGAAATCATGAATAAGTAATTTTGACCCTTCTGGTAGTTTTAGTGTTAACACGTTGATCGTCACCAAAAACTGGAGCTTCCAAATTCCTTGATAACAGTTACAATAAAATATTGCTGCAGCATGAAACGTAACTAAATGATAGTATAACTTAGAAACTATGGTACCAAATCATTAATAATCGATTCTAATACCGTTTACCTTCGTTACAGAAGAATAAGCAATACTATACAAAACGCTCGAAATTCTCGCGACAGTCATCCTGTTAAATAACCAAAAACAGTATCAAGCGCAAACTATAAAACCGAACACACAAAAATCGTGTTATTAATTTCACCGAATAAAACGTACGTTTATCCGAACTCTTAAATCCGTTCAATATACTTCCTTAAAGCCTCGCGAATTTTTTCGAGTTACCTAATAATTCCGAGGAAAAAAACAATAGACGCGCGTGTCGCAGCCGAGCGGCGCAGCGCGCAATAAATTTCGAGGTTAGTCACGGGAATTATTGTTTTTCCGATATCGTATGCAGAAGAAAGCAGAAATTGGAAATTCCTTGGAACACGCGAGCCCAGCCTTCTTATCGAAGAAAGGAATCGACGCGGAGTCCGAGGGATCCGAGAGATGGTATGGAGCACGCTTCTTAATAGCGGCAAGAAGGTCTCCCAGTCCAGCACGTGCTGCACGTCAGATACCGAAGATAGGAAGCGAGTCGTTCACGCCCACAGTTCACACGCCGGACTCGGCAACCCACCATTAAGACCCTTCTGATTACAGCCGTGCCAGCCGAACCTATACTAAACTAAAACACTGGAGAAATTAGGGTTCGCCGCGAAGAAATTAAGTTCTTTGACATGTCCCATCCCACACGAGCTAAACGAAAGCCCTATCGTCCACGGGATTCGTGCTTTCGTTTACCGGGATAATCGTGTTTTCCGTTTCCTCCACCGAATTCCATGTCCCCCTGATTCCTGTTCCTTATTAGATACGTGGCGGATTATTTAACACTGAAACGAGCAGTTGACTTTCTGAAATTCCTCTATAGAAGCTGCGAGAGTGTATCTGTTAACACGTTGTCTGCCACGGTGGTCACCGGTGACCGTAGCTTCAAAACTGCTTAAATAGAATTAGAATAAGGAAACTGATGTCGAATAAAAATACTTAGTAACGCAAACAGCTAGATGATAGTGTGGCACGTGTACTGTGATACCAAGTCATTAATAATTATTTCTAATACCGTTTGCCTTTGCTACGAAGGAATATGTATTGTTACACAAAACGTTCGGAATTCTCGTGGGAGTCAATGTGTTAAGACTTCTATTCGTTTACAATTCAGTTTGCGTATTGCTGAACCAATTTCTTTGATTATTTCTCAGAGATACATCTGTTACCTTTTTAATAATTGAGGAAAGAAGAAATCAAGTATGGGTCGTTTCGTGCCGTTTGGTAGTTTTAGTGGTAACAGGTCGCATGCCGCCGTAA